CTGAGGATCTGGTATGATCCGTGGGTTTTTAAGTGGGCTCATGGGTAAGCCCATGAGGCCCCAGTAGCCTGCCCAAACTCCTCATTCTTTTCTCTCTCTTGTTGAAGGAGAGGGGTCTTCTTTTATAAGTGAGGAAGAGTCCCCTCTTCTTGTGTTTTGTCGATGTGGGACTTCCTTCCCTTTGTTTGCATTGGCTTGGGAATGCTTGGCTAGATATGGTACAAATAATTATAATATTTATGAGTCCCTAAACTAAAGTATGATTGGAGTTTTTCTAAAAAAACACAGAAACAATTGTATATAATTTTCTACTAGTGAAGCAATTCGGAAAGAAAAAATTTTGATTCACTTTTTCTGCTTGGTACAACCAATGGAAGCTTTCTTTCCTAAAGAGGTCCTGTTGGTCAGCTAGCAATCTCCCTTTCTTTTCTCTTTTGTGCTTGTCTTTTCTCTTTTGTTTACAGCTAGCAATAATATAATGGTTGGAATTACAAGTAGATTTTGATGGAAAACAAAGAAAAAAATTGGTTAAGAGTATTCACTTTTTCCACTTGAAGTTCTAAGTTGGATACCCCCTCCCCTAGTATTACTTGTATAAAAAAAAATTGCACGGGTGACAGCTAAAGCCACGTGGAAGACAATCCAACTGTCCAAATACGTAACATCTTATTTAGTTTGCAAGCCGCCCAATTGGGTCATATCCAATACCTGTTTGTCTAGGCTGTCTTTGCCAGTTGAGCAACTGGAGTAGTCCAGCCCAAACTGCAGGGCCTTCAATACGTTGCTTTATAATCTCCAATATTCTTAAACTGAATATTACAAACTGACAATTGTACAACACACAAAATAAAGTACTTTCGATACAAATAAAGTACGAGAAGAAACACAATGAATAAATACAATATTTTGACTACATTTTCTGGTGATGAAACATACACTATCTGCAATCATCACATACTTAAATCTCTAGCTTAGCTAGGCTTCATGAGCAAAACAAATAACTTCAACATTTCACTTGGGCTAATTAACGGTCTGGTTCACGATCATATGAAGCCAATTGAAAAACCCACTTGGTCTGCAACCAAGTTGATTTAGAGACCACCGATTGGTGAACCATGGTGGGCTCCACAAGGGCCTTGACACGTTGCATTGCAACATCGAGTGTGTCCTCGGACATGTTTGCAAAGCACATTCTGAACCAACCCGGTTCAGAGCAATGGCAAGACGACCCAGGAGAGATGTTGAGCCCAAATTCACAAACCACTTTCATCCAAAGCTCCTTTTCAGCTTCAAAAGTGTTAGACTTCAAAAGGTGCCTCATGTCCACCCAACAAAACAACCCAGCATTGCTTTTCAAACACCTAATCCCTGCCCCTTTGAGCCCACAAACAAACATCTGCCTTCTCTTTCTAAGCCTCTTTTGGTTCTCCTTCAAGTAATTGGCTGTGAATTTCTTGTCTTTGAGCATTTGGGAAAGCATGTATTGAGTTTGTGAAGAGACAAGTCCAAAGCTTGACATCTTTGTGGCGGCCGACACAACTGTTTGATTGTTTGAGTATATCATGCCTACCCGAA